TATCATTGTTTTTTAATAATCTTTAAAATTTGAAAAGGATTATGTTATATTCTAATGAAAATAATGTGTTATTCACAAAAAATTTTCACGATAATAGAGATGTATAATGTTAGACCAAAGTAGCTACCTTTGTGAATTGTTACTATTCTTTATAATATTAAGTTGATATTTTGAGTATATGTATACAAAAATAAAAATTGTTTGAGATATTATCGTTTCATTAAGAAGCTTTGATAAATTTATTTGAAAATTGAAGCAAAACGTTCTGATGAAATGACGATTCTGTGTTGAAAGTTTTAGAATCATAGCACTAAACAATATTTAATTAGCACTATCGCACGACGTGTTAATTGCTTAGAACTTAACCATATGTTATAGACTTTGACGATAATAAAGTAGACATATAGAATTATCTTTAGCACTAGCAATAAAAAGAAGCAGTAATAGCTTGTTGATTAGTAAAATGATAAATGAAAAATTTTTGAATGCATATTTCTACTGAATATGTCTTTCACAAAGAAAGATAATGTTTGAATCTTAATTCCAGTACATGTGAATCAATAGAGAGTAGATCGATATTTGTGATCAAAGTTTATTGTCGCATACATTTACTTAATATAGACGTTCTATATTAGAAAGAATAGTAGCACTTCATAGAGTCGGACCAACTGTTTGCGTCTAGGTCGGTATGTAAATCTTCTAGCTTGACAATATTTTACCAAACAAGACGATTTCTATGTTTGGATTTGTTTGTTCTACTAAACTGATTAATGTCAAAACAGTTTTGCTCGTCAAAATATAAACTAATGCAATGATAGTTACAATAAATTGATAAACAAAATATATTCGACAATTAGATAAGAAGAAAAAAATCTGGTATCTAATGAATATATGCATGAGATACATTTGCACTTTGGTTTTTTTTTTATTCTTTTAGGTCATGTATAATTCGTCCTTATATTTTTCTTTCTCTTGTTATTGAAAGCTTGTTGCATAGTCTATGTATTTCTTACTTGGCTTACTATTTTGTTAATTCTTGCTGTTCTGATGGATTTCAAAAAAATAAAAATATCTCTTTTTTTTTTAATATTAGCCAAGTTGTGACAGTGTGATTGTCATTCTAGTGAATTAGTGGGAATTATTTTATGTTAAATAGTTAAGAATGATTTAAGCTTTGCTCTCTCCTATTCTATTGAATTAGATAGACATATAAGAATGTGTAAATATCATTGTACAATGAAAAACATATATTAAATGTAAGAATGAATACTAACAGAAATGATATATTATTTGCTATATTTCTTTGCATTTTTAACAATTTCGTATGACATATGTCTATCAAATGAAGATTTAGAAGAAAATACAAGAAAGAAATGGCAAATGATGTAGTTTCGGAATTTCTATTGTGATTCCATCTGTATCGTTTATATTTCTTAGAGCTCTATCTTTTTTGTCGACCTTATATATGTCATGTCTAAACCTTCACTGGATCGTAAAACTATAGTAAAACTGTCATGTTTTACCGCAAAAAAAGTAACCTTGTCATTAATAGAATTCTAGACATATTGTTTTCTAAAATACGTATGGAAGCAACTGACACAAAAGATTTCTTCCGTTGATGACAAATAGCAAGAATAATGTTACATGAACCCAAGTTATTGAACCGACCATGGAACTTATTTGAGTCGATTGATTGATATATCATTTCTATCATGTGTCAAAATGCTGAGATAGTGTGAATTACGTTGGTTTTCTCTTTGTATTCATCCTAACGTGACAATGTTTATTGACAAATGAAGAACGAATAGTGTTGGCAATACTACTTTCACAAAATTAAGATTTACTAATTTTCTGAAAAAGATAACTTCTTCATACTTTTATCTCCTGATGAAATATGTTAGTTTTGATTCTTATGATATGTTTCATGTCAAATTTAGAATTATAGAAATAATACTGAATGTTATTTCATGAAGTTTTTCAAAAAAATTTTTTTTTTTGTTATAATACTACAAACGAATATATTTGACAAGAAATCATTGTCCTTGTGAATTCTACAGTAATATTGATAGTAAGTACGGCAGACAAGCAATAAAAATAGTCGTCAACCTTAAAGCTTCTCTTATCAACCTTATGGTGTGTAAGAAGGTCATAAAATACATTAACAACTACTATTTTGTAAGAAGTATCTTGTCATCATAGTTTATGATGCTTTGAAAAGTACAAGGAGAAAACCTTGTTAGAGTTTATGTAATTCTTCAATTCAGATCTTAAATTTTTATTTTGTGAATTTATCTCTATCAGAATCGTATGAACAATCTCCCGAAGAGTTATTAGTCGAATAAATAATTTCATAAAAAGAAGATTTCATTTTTTTCGGGAGTTATGTTCGAAAATAATTCGAAAAATTTTATCAAATTTAGTTTCAAATATTAATAAAAACTTGCTGAATACTATAGCTGATAAGAATATGTAGTAGAAAGAAAAAAGAAATGTTTGTTTTTTGTTTGATGATATCTTAACAGATATTCTACATCAGCTAAGAGGGTCTCAGGCAATTTCTCAGATATGATACAAATAAGCTATGGAATAATTATGAAAAAATATTATCAACAATAGGTATATTAGATCTATGTGGCTAGCAGAACGACGAGCAAGAAACTTAGATAATTATATGTACTTTCCAAAACATAAATGCCCTTAGGATCTGATATCACATCATAATATGAAGGCTTGGGCAAAACAAGAAATTCAATTGATGCTGTAATTCATGTTTATCTTAATTATAGATGCAATAGAAGTGGTGAGCTATCTATAATTTAATTATTTGTTTTAATTAAGAAATCGACTTCAAATATCACATTTAAAAGTAGCTCAATCATTGAACCAAATCTCAACTTGAACGAGTGAAACTAAATTCAATTCAACATATGATTTGAATAATACAAAACTCAATAATCAATGACTTATGATCCTCATAGTATCATCTATATGAATGATAAATTCTTGTAAATTTTAAACAATTCTATTTTAGTTAAGTCAATAATTATTTCTACTAAATTAAAAAGATATTATCATTATGAGATAAAAGTCCGTTCATTGACAATTTAAACATGTCAATAGAAGATATTTTATACAGACATCTGACAACAATCAATATCAAAATAGAGAGACATCGTTTACGTATCCATGTACTTAGCTTTGACATACTCTCAATGATAATGGTAATGTATAAAATCGACGACGATAAGTTCTTTCAATGATTTTTAACTATAGAAAGACTTCCTCTATCAATAGTGTGTGCGTCATTAAGCTCTATTGTGTACTATTAGCATATAAACAATGTGTACCAGAGCTTGATAATACATATACCATTAGATAGATAAAGTCTTTATCTACAAGTCTAACTATATCTTGTTCTGTAGTCAAAACCTTACAATCGCTTTTATTGTTTTTTAGTAGCTTCATATAATTGAGAAGAAATACACAAAAAATATTCATTCACTAATCATTTTAGTGGAATATGCGAACTATTTATATTCAAAATTCTAGTTTTACTTTGTCAACTAGGATTAAAAACTCAAGTAGTTTGTCAAGCATACAATAAAGATACTCATAATGTGATCATCCATGCACATTGATCGGCAACATTCTGACGGTTTATTTTAGAATATATGATGCATTATGGATGTATTTATACTTTTTTTTTCTAAACAGACTATATCTCTAAGTTGCAAACGAATGAAATAGTTTGAAAAAAATACATATTTCTATTGACGTTTATTTCTATATGATGTATATAGCGTACTCTTAGGATTCTCATGATACTTTCAAGATTTTGATTATAATTCTACGTATTCAGCATCCCAAGAATACATTGCATTTCCTTTGAGTTCAGATCTGTGCGTCTAATTAACAAAAAATAGATGAATAAAAATTCTTGATTGAAACTATTCACTTCTTGTGTCTTCATTCTTCATTTAATTAATTTTCAAGTTTTTACTTTTAATGAAATAGAATAGTAGAGCAATTGTTTTACTCTGATCAATTCATATGTCATATACTAAGGGAATATTAAGAAATGAATCAATTACTATCATCACGAATGGATAATAATTTTTTTATCATCATAAATATAGCAATTAATATGTTTATTGATATAATGTTGCATTAATGATCATCAAGAGAATATTAATGATATTTTATTATATTGTCAATATATACTTTTTCGAAATAATTACTTTGAATTCTATATAATACTTGAATTAATTTTTTAATTTAATTATATGTCAGAAATTTAATACAAAGGTATGCTAACACCAAAAGCAAACTTTTTTTTGTATCTTTTAGCAACACTTTTACTAAACCCGTTAAATAGTTAATTTTTCATTCCTTGTCTTTTTTTCATAGTGTTGGTTTTTTTTTCGATTTTTTTCTTGTATTATATTAATTTTTATTTGAATAAATTCTAAGTATCGAAAATAAATTAATAGTTTGGTTAAGATCAACATCTCATATTTACAATGGATTATAGATGACATTTATTTTTCTTTATATTTGCAGAGATCATTTAATGATAGTCATTGAGTTTTATATATTGATAGTTGCAATATGATTGAACTGGTCTATGAAGTCCTTCTGAAAGAGAAGCAATAAATTCTAAATAAATTGAAAATATTATAGAGAATTCACATAAACCTTCATTTTTAAATATAGCAGATGTGTCAGTACATAGAGCAAGTTTCTCATAGAGCAGAATAGAGAAATTTGATCATAACACATTCAGTAATAATCGTGATATTAGACAAATATTTGAACGAAAATTTTTAAATACAATCATATTTGTACAAGAATACAAAAATAACGAATCTATCGATAGTTTTTGTTTGTTCGTTCTTTCTATGATATAATTCGTTAATCTAAATGTCCAGTCGATCTTTAGTTGGACATCCATAGATCACCAAATTCCATTACAAGGTCATTTAACTATTTATTATTTTCAAATGTCACATAATCGTGAATCTTCTATTGCCTATTTCATATCTATAACGCATTGTCAAAGAGATGATGCAATTCAATATTTAGAAAAAACTCAATGGAGACTTGATCAATCTCTCAATTTATTTTTTGAACAAGATTTAAAACAAAAAAAATCTAATATACATTCAAAATGTATCGTTGCACCATATCAACAGTACGAAAACAAACCAAATGCTCGTGCTTTTGATCTTGTTCCCCTCTTGCCTAGATCATCACCGAAAACGATTATTATACCAACGATGATCGAATTTCAACGGTAAATATTATCAATTAAACAAGAATTGTTTTTGTTTGTTTTTTCTTTGAAATTTATCATCTATTCTTAGATTTATTGAATCATTTAATATTGATAAAACAAATCTACTTGAAAATTCATCAAAAATGATGAATTTAGCAATGAAATATGCTACATATAAAGAAGTTAATATTCCATCAAATCAAATTGAACATTGGAAAATTCATTTAAAAGTTGATTACACACGTTTACAAACACTACTTGATAATGATATGTGTGCGCCATTAGTTTGGATTGAACACTTTGAACATTTATTAAATGGAAACATTGATCAATTATTTGATTGTGATTATATGTTTACCATAAGTGATTAGAAAAACTTTTAAAATAAATTCATTTTTATTAAGCTTTTGTTTTATTTTTTAAAATAAAAAAAAAACGAGACAGAAAAAAAAGTCTATTAGAGATTTTCTTGCCATAAAACACGTCCTTCCATACCACCATCTACCATTAAAACATTTCCTGTTAAATGTCCAGCTGTTTTATTTGATGCAAAAAATAAACAAGCTTGTGCAACATCTTCTGTTGTAGCTACTTTTCGTAATGGCATTGTCTGTAAAGCTTTTAAATGTTTTCCTTGTTCAATTGAAGTTTCAGCCATTGGTGTACGTGTCCATCCAGGTGCAACTATATTACATCTTGCATGTGGAACAATATGAATAATTTCATTTTTTAAAGTTTTTATAAAACCTGAATGAAGTGCACCTTTACTTGTTGCATAATCAATATGATTTGCTTCACCAAATTTACCAGCTGTTGAACCAATTAAAATTAAATTAGCATTTAAATTATTAATATCCATTGTTGATGTTAAACGTTTTAATTGTCGACACCATTCACGTGCATAAAGAAAATAAGATGTTAAATTAATATCAATTGTATTTTTCCATTGTTCAAGTGACATTTCCCATATTGGAGTTTCTTTATCAACATAAATAGCATGATTAATAATACAAACATTAATAAGACCAAATCGAGTACAACTTTGTTCGATACCTTTTTGTATAGCTTGTTCATCAGTTGCATTTACTGAAAGAGCAAAACAACGATCCCTATATTGATTAAGTAACGGAGTTAGAGTATCGAATGTACGATTATAATGTAGAGAAACATTAGCACCTTGTTCAAGAAATAAACGTGCAACAACAAAACCAATACCACCAGCAGCACCAGTTATTAGAACATGTTGTCCTTGCATTTTCTTTCTTTCTTCTTTTCGTGTATGATAGAAGATAAGATATAAAGTTTAAAAATAAAAAATCTTTTTTTTTTCATCTCAGAAACAGAATATTACCTAAAAATAACTGATTGGAGAAGAAAAATTCAAAGAAATATCAAAAATTTGATTCATTTTGAAAAAATTTAACATAATTTAAATTATGTTTCAGAAAAACTCAACTAAATATTAAATATTATAAAAGAATATACATTATCGAAAGATGTCAGATATTGATTGTAATTATAAAAATTGTTTTTCATCGACAAATATTCGAGATTAATTTTATTTTCAATATTATATACAACTTCATATGTTTCTATCATGCATAACTTAACGACAATATCCAACTGACAGCAACAAGGGGGAAAAAACAAAAACTCCCTACTTCAACATACTTCCACGATATATTAAAGTTATGCTCTAGAACTTTTTAGTTATTGTAAGTCAACTGTTAACATGTGTCACAAACATAGTAATTTAAGCTCGTTTTATATAAGTCTGTCTGACAATAATACTCAAGAGTATTCGAGCTTAATTGTCAGACAGACTTATATAAAATGAATTCAAACTAATATGCTTGTGATAAGAACTCATCGGATCCAAAACTTTCTACACCTAGTCAACACAAAAATTTCAGACTCAAATCCGATGAGCTCTACTCGTGACTAGAGACCTGCGGGGAACTCCGAAACCCGATTCTAGCTCCGTCGGAATCGGAGTCGGAGTCGGAGTCAAGTTTACTGAAAAAATTTTCGGAGTCAAATCGGAGTCGAAATTATAATAACCTCTAATGAACTTTTACTATTTGATATTACAATAACTTTATTTTTCATCTTAACAAACAAAAAAAGCGAAAGACAGCACTCATTATACAATAGTTTGCAAAAAAACTTGGAACAAATTTTTAGTCTATATTGACGCCTATTTCAACTACTTTCAAAAAAAATATTTCTTTATTTAATACATAGTAATATACAGTTTTACAATATGCAGCTCAATAGTTAACTCGTCTTCCCTTTTACTCAGTAACTAAGGAACATCTATTTTTCATGCTGTTAATCAAATTGATTATAACAGTTTTATCAATTTTTTTTCCATTCTTCATCGATAAAAATTTTCACCTCATTAACATTTGCTGCTTTTCTTTTTTCAATCCGATGTTTCATAATGGTCCGCATATTTTCAAGCGAATTGAGATTCGGACTATTCAATAGCCAGTCTATAATAAGTGGAACATTAGCAACCAACCATCTTTTAGTTGTTGAAGATCGATGCTTGCGGTCGTTATCTTGTTGAACTCGACATTTATTATTAAATTGTCGTTTAGCATTGGAAATCAAGTTGTTTCCTTATATTTTGATGTAATAATCACTGCTCTAATATTTTGAAATGAATGAAAACCAACTGTTCCATGATAACTGGTAGAATCTCAAACATGAAATTTTTGTCGATTTTCAACCATTTGCTTGCTCGATGTTGTAGAGAATCTTGAGTTCGGAGCTTTTTTAACTGATAACTAATTGTAGACAATGGTATCTTCGTATCTCAGTGGATTTTTCTGACAGAACGAATTCCCATGTTCCAATAATATAATACAGAAATATAATGTGTTTTTAGTCTGTTTAACTTTACCATGTCAGGTTATAAATAAAGAGCGACAAAATAGAAATTAATCAAATATACAAATATTATTAGCAGATAGTCTAGTAAGTCTAAACCTACAATAACAGTAAAATAAATGCTCAAGGGAATCTAGAAAATATAAAATATTTATACTGTCAGTTTGTTCCAAGTTTTTTTTGCAAACCATTGTATATGCTAAGAATGAATTTCATGACCAAAAAAAGGGTAACCTTTTGGCTATAACATTCGAAAGATCAAGCTCATAAAAATATGATGCTATTAATCAAAAAATATTTCAGTACCATCCAAAGTACAATAATTCTCGTCGTCATCAATTATCGATTGCTTAGTAGAGTCCTGTACGAAGTCGATTTCGGAGCCGTCGCCGGAGTCGGCTAAATTTTATGCTAAAAATTTCGCTTTAGCACAGGAAATTTTTTGAATTGTAGATTTTGTTCTCTGATATTTACTGTATAAACTGATGTATTTTGGAGATTTCAACGACGTGTTATCAAAACCTATGGACATGAAAGAAAGTCAGAGTTAAGTTCAACTCCGATTTTGTTCGATTTAGACTTTCTTTCATGTCCATCGGTTTTGATAACATGTCTTTGGAATCTCGAAAACGCATCAGTTTATACAGTAAATATCAGAGAACAAAACCTACAATTCAAAAAATTCCATGTGCTAGAGTGAAATTTTTAGTGTAAAATTTAGTTAACTCTGACGACGACTCCGAAATTGACTGCATGCAGAACTGTATTGCTTGGGTATAGTACATGTCGAATACTTCCTAGTTATTGTTTTTTTTTAATTTTCACTACACAACAAATGAAAAAGAAATTGAAAATTAATCTTTTAATAATTCTTTGATTTTCTTTTATTGTTTTGCTTGTTTATCGATTTATACATGTTTAAAATTAAACAATAAAATACATTAGAGGTCATCTGCTTTCGAGAAAAAAATTTCGGAGTCTACCGGAGTTTTACGGAGTTGGAATCGGAGTCAAAAAAATAGAAATTCTCGGAGTCGGAGTTGGAGTCGGGGTCGTAAAGAAGAAATTTTTCGGAGTCGGAGTCAGGTTTCGGAATAAAAAAACCTGACTCCGCAGGTCCCTGCTGAGGACACACGTTGATAGGTTGACTTGAAATAGCTACAAAGTTCTAGAGAATAGTTTTGACATACTCTTGGAATATGATGAACTATGGAATTTTCGCTTTTTACTCCTTGGATAATATTCATTAGCTTATTGTATAAATATTGTCCTTGATGATCTCTTCTTATCCTTATATGAAACTCTCCCTTTCATCATATAGAAAAACAGATATTCTATACATTATCATAAAAATCAACGGATATTACATCGGATCATTTCTTGCAGTCTATAATTGTCTGTCTTTGATTCTTTTTTTTTGTTTTGTTACTATCAGATATGAGTAGTTCACATAGTGAAGTACGAATTGTTGAAAATCCGAATGAACTCTATGAATATAGTAATAATGTTCGACCACCAGTACGTGAAATGTCTTTGTTTATTAAAAAATAAAAAACAAAATAATTTATTTTTCTCTTATAGCATAAACCAATACCAGCAACATCTCATTCTGCTAAATTACATGAAGAAACCAGTATAACAAAAGATATTTCATTAGATTGTAAGTTCTTTTTATATAAAATTAAATAAATGCTTCATAAAAACTTTTAACCATCAGAAAAAAATCTTTTTTAACAACAATTTTTCGAGAAGTTTTAAAAAATAAAGTCGGAAATATTCGAGATAAACCAGGTGGTGAACATGTTAATCGATCAGGAACATTAATTGGAAATTCAAAAAACTCATGAAACAAAAAATTTTAACACAGACATGGTGAGCATTATTCAGTATTTTACCAGCGAATTCAATGCAAAAACCACATCAGTACATAAAATATTTTGGAATCAAAAAAATCGATTTTTTTAAAAATTTTATTAAGGACATAATGCAGTAGCATTAGATTTAGTGACATTTGCACCGAAAGGAAAATTTTATACATTGATTGGAGAAGATTTAGATGAAAATGGTAAAATTCAACCATCAATACATTTAAATTGGGAATCAGGTGCAGCATTTACAATACCACTTAATATGTGGCATTCACATCATAACGAATCTGAAGATGAAGATGCATGGATTTTATCAATTCAAGATGCTGGTCTTTCATTACATCAAGTAAAATTTTGACTTTTTAATTTTTTAATTTAATTTTCAAAATAATGTGTTTTTTTTTTTAAATATTCTCTTAAGGGATTGTATGATATTCGATTTGCAGATGAAGAATGAAAATATTTAACAGATAAACACACAATTAAAAGTATAATTCATTAATTTCCTCGTATAAAAAAATATTGAATTTTATTCAGCCAAATATTAAATTTGGAGCACTTTGAAGCAAATTATTCATATTTAAGCCAAAACAAAAAGAAAACAAAAAAGTGTAAAATAAGACATTGTTACGATACAAATAAGTAAAAATTGTTTTTTAATGTCGCGAATAAATATATCCTTCAACTTCTTCTGCCATTACACCTTTTGTTTTATGAAGTAAAGACATAACTGGATGTTTTGATGGTAATGTACGACCAGCTGTTTCTTCTGCTCGTTCTAAATATTGTCTTGCTTGTTCAATATTTCCTAGATGTGTTTGAACAACTGCAAGATTATGTAATGTACGAGCTATATCTGGATGATCGCTTGGTAATGATGCTTCTTGTAATTTCAATGCACTTTCATATTCTTCAAAAGCTTTAACATACTCTTTGGTGGATAGATAAACATTACCTAAATTAACCCTTGGTACGGCATGATTTGGATGACCTGGTGGAAGAGAACTATTAAAGATTTTTTTTGCTTTTTGAAATTTACTCAATGCTCGATCATACTAAAATGAAAAGTAAAAAAGAAGAAATTAAGATTTATTCCAAAAAATGTTTTATCTTACATATTGTCGATCACAATCAATAGTACCCAAATTAATTAATGTTCCAGCAACATCAACATGTTTTTTTGGAATACTTATATTATATAATTTCATAGCACGTAGAAAACATTCTTCAGCTTTCATTTGTCGTCCTTGTTCACTATAAACAACTCCAAGACCATTTAAAGTTTTTCCTGCACTTGCTAAACGTTTTGGTCGAGCATTCATATGTAAACTATATGCACGATTATAACAATTTGTTGCACGATTAAAATCACCTCTTAATCGATGTGTACGACCAAAATTAAAAAATATACAAGCAATTTCTTCATCATTTGGATTTGAAGAATTAAGAATTGTATCAAAATATGATTCAGCTTTAGCATATTCACCCATTTCGAGTAGTAAATTACCAAACATAAGAACTATATTTGATTCAACCATTTTTTTCTTTTGATATTCCATATATTCAGCAGCTAAATCAGCACCTTGATCAGTTGCATGAACTTGAACATGCCATAAATCTTCGTCGGGACTAAATTGACATGAATCAATTTGAAATGATGCACCTATATAAAAGAAAATAAGAATTTCGTTTGTAAGATATTAAATTAGATTATACAACGAAAGAATTTCTCAATTTTGATGTTTTTCTTTTGTTCTTTTACATGTTTTTTTCATTACAATAAAAGATATCTATTATGTATTATGACTATGACCAATAAGTGTCCCGACTCGCTGTAATCAATCCTATTTTAAAGCGTGTTATCAATTAACAAATAGAAATGAAGATTAGTTTTAGGTAAATGTGACATTTGTATTATCTTGTTTTTTTTATCATATCAATGTCATGTATCTCTTATATTTTTCTTGTTTACATGTTTATTTATATATCGTACGGCGATTTGTTTAAATGTTCTTATTCGGATAGCTATAAAAAGAAATATTCATGGATTTACAAACTGAATTTTCACTAACGATGGTATTGAGCATGACGACTATTAGTTGAGATGATCAGAAAAAGAAGCATATTTACTCATAGATATTGAGGCAGTTTATTAATGATGATGCTTTGTCAAAGAAATCTATATATTATATTAAGAATACAAAGGATTACTGAGAAGTCGACAGCAAAAGAACAAGATGTTAATATCAGTATCAAAGTAAACGATAACAATGAATAAATTTCATAAAATATAAATATCGGGAATAGCACTTCTGCACTAAATTAGTAGAGTACTTAATATAGGCATTACAGATACTACATTTCTATATAAATTCATTTGTCATTTATATGAAATATATAAATTTAAAAATCCTATGTCACACATTTTCTTGCAATCTTTTCATAAATTCAGTTCGATCATCTGTTAGTAATATTATACGACTATATAGTCTATAGTGTTCCCTATCAAACACGCAAGTATGGTAGTAAAATAATAAAAATTCGTTTCAAAAAAAAAGACTGATAGCACAAACCCTTCCTCAACTTGAATTTGGAACCAAAGGACTTATACTTGATCAATTTTTGGAAGAGTCCATGGTGAAAAGTACTCAGCGATGATTCTTTTCTCATAGATTAGTAGCTGTTTTTTGATATTTTTTCAATAATCACGTTATTCGAACATTGTAATAAAGCACGTTCGTCATCATAATAAATAACTAATATTATATTCATTTCAATCGAAGTATTTTAATAGATCGGACGACTAGATCAAATCTTCAAATTGATCATTGCATTATCCAAATTAGAGTTATAAAAAAAAGATCTCGACATTGAAATATTCTAAACAGTTTATGTTTTGATTTGTACTTTTCTTTTTTTTCTAAATATTTACATTTAACAATTTAAAATAAACTTTTCTTACCAATATCAACTAAAACTTCAGCTTCTTCAGGAAATGCTGAAAATTCTCGAATATCAGCAATAACAATTTTTTGAACCTGATTTAAATCAATTTGATATTCAAATAAAGCTCGTGAAAAACCTTCTCGTTTAGGAGATTTTGTTGCAAAACCATATGCAACTGAACGTTCACTACTTGTTGATAAATATCCATTTGTTGATATTAAATTTCCAATACTGTTTTGAAAATTTTCTACTTCATCTGCACTTAATTTTAAACCTCGATAAAGTCGAAGAATATCTTTTTGTTTTGCTTTAAGTTCTAAAAATTTCGATTCAAGTTGTTCACTTAAATCCATAATATAAAAACGAAATTGATACAAAACATCAACATCTTCTGTACGAAGTGCTTTATTAATAAATCTAAAAAACAAGAAAAAAAAAAGAAAATATATTTATAAATAAAATAATTTTCTTTTTTTTTTTTTTTTTTTTTATTAAACTTACTTATAAACAAATGTTTCTTTTGTATACCATGGTATAGCATCAGATGATTTATATGTTCGATCAAAATCATCAATATTTTTTAATTCAGTTAAATTTCCACGATAATAATTTCGACATGTTGTAACCATAGTTTTTTTTGCTTCAGCTGTTTTAGGCATATTTTTTAATACACTTTTAAATAATTGAAAAAATAAAAATGAACCAGCTTCTTTTGAAAGATCTCGTGTTGCTTTTTCTTTTTTATTATATATACTAAATGCAGCTGTTTGTTTATCAAGTTCTTCACGAGATTTTCTTATAGTATCGATAAGTGTTGCTTCATTTTCACATAAATTAACAAGATAACTATGTTGTTGTTGGCCAATATCAACAATTGAACCACTTGCTGGAGAATAAAAAAATACTGAATCAATTTGTTTTAATGGCTCAATGGCTTCAATCAAACTCGCCGGTGGTATACCATCGATGATAAGAAAAACTTTCTGAGTTATTGGTGTAATATAATTAACACATTCTGGCTCCGTAGTAAACACCTGTAATCATTATTTAGACACTTTAAAAAATTTTATATATCAATCAACTAACCTCAACACTACTCTTCACTGACTGAAGGATGTCGATAATATTTTGCTTTGGTTCTTCACAAGCAAAATAAACCAGTTTTGTTCCATCATTTGTGCTTTCATCATCGACATCACGACCTGTATATTTTCCTGCTTCCGCTTCTTCGTCTTCTCGCCGTGCATCGTCATCATTATCATGATCTTCTCCAGCATTGACTCCTTCATGAACTTTTTTTCGACGTGGTTTAAGCCATTTCAAAAACGACATATTGTAAGGTGATGTAGAATCGTAAAATGTCTTAATATTTTATATCAACTTATAATGTAGATTCGTTTCTTTGGGTAAACAAACTGACACTGTGTTCGATATGCTCGATTGATCATGATAATTATGAAGAGAGAAAGTATTTTTTCATGTTACACGTGTTTGTCATAAATGATTTTTTTTATTTGAATAGACCAATGAAATGTAAAAAAAGAAAATTAAACAAACGTTATCAAGATATTGAATAATGAAACGGACGTAAGAAACAACGTCATATCGAATATAAAATGGAGCAAGAAAAATATTTTCAATATTAAATGTTGTAGTAATTTACGTAGTTTATTTGGACATAAATAGCATTATTTATTGAAAACAAATAAATTTTTGCAAAGAAGTATAACTTGTTTTTGATTAAACAATCAATCAATTAAAGATTATAAGAGAATGAAAAGTGATTTTCGAGTACGATCTTTTCTTTTTTTTGATTTCTTGATATTTCTTTTAGGTTCTTTCAGTGCATATAGACATAAAAGACTCGAGAAGAAAATAACCTAAAGAATATATGTATTCTTAGACTACTATACTTTCTTAGAAATCGAATTTCTTTAATTTTTTTGCATTTATGAATCTTAGTCCAATTTCAAATTTTTCTCATATACGTCAGTTATTATTGTTGAACACCATTTAGCAAATAAGATATAAAATTTTACAAGTAACTCATCAAATTATTCATCACTTTATTGTATTTCATTTCTCAAGGGAATCTTTTTCTTTTCAGAGTATGTCAAATATTTTGTCGTATTTAAAAAGAGAATATGGTTTTATTTATTAGAATAGTTCATTTACTGTATCATATTTATTTATCTGAAATGAATTTTGTTTTAGTTTTATTCTTAATATTATGCTTCACTATTATTCTATAAACTTCTTAAGTGATATGTACATCAAAATTAAGACAAGCCTGGTTGAAGTGTGACGTTTTTCTACAATAAAACATTTGTATTATTTTTATTAATGAAAAGGTCACAAAAACAAACAAATCGGGTTTTATTTGCTAGGTCTTTTCAAACAAAATAAGATTAAATGAAGTTTTTCTTTAATAATCTACAAGATGCCATCGAAATTTATTTACTCCGTGAAAAACTAACGACTGTATTATCGTAACTGATCTAAACCAATATCTGATCTTGAGTTTTTGAAACAGTTTATGGTATTTTCCTATGTGAAAAGAAGTTTGTTTTTGAACAATCATCACAATCGTAGTTACTCTTATTGGCAAAAAAAATTCTTAAGAAATATAATATGTTATATTTGATAATGACTTAATCTTTCAAAAGAAATGATATAAAAGTATGATTTTTATCAATTGGAAAAATATTTTCACTTTGCTAAATAGTATTTAAAACAAATTAACTATTTTTATTCAGTTTATGTAATTTTAAGATTATTGATTAACTATTTTTTTAAAATCTTATTGATTCAATAAATATCAATTAAAATTGTGAACATCAATTCTTATGAAAATTTCGTAGTCTAAAGTTTCAATTCGTTCAATGAAAAATTTTAATTCTAAAAGAATAAATTGAAATACAATTTCGAAGTTTTAAGATTTCGATCATAGAAAAGAAATCGAACTAACATGCTTTATTCAATTATACTTTTCTCAACGATGTTCACTGTTGTAAGGATTGAAAGATCAATTTTTGAATTTGAACTTCTCTTGTTCTATTTCTCAAACAAACAATATACAAAAATTAATTTGACATGATGCTTTAGAATGATTATAATTACATGCTTCGTTCAATGAGTAATCATCTCATGTCAATCATATTACTGCAGTAAAGTTTTATTTTTTATTGTTTAATTGTTTAATTTTATTTTTCCTCTTTTCTTCCTTGTTAGATAATTCATTGCATCAATCAAAGAACTTTATTTTCTCTCGTCTTTCAACCTTTCGAATGATTCTATATCCAACACAGAGAAACTCTCCTTATTAAAATACAAACTATCTCATGAAGGTCTTTAATTTTTTTACTGAATGTCTAGTACTTCTTGATACGATGAAAATACATTCGAATAATCACCCATGCTATTGTAATAGTCAGTCATATTCTGATATTGTTATGAAAGACTTTTTCGACGAATTTTCACCGATTTTTCAAAAAGTTCGAGCACATCTGCATATCTTCCTCGGTGAAACTTGATCGATTCGAGCTGAGAAAAGGTATGTTCTTTCTCATCATCTCTCGTTCTTTAAGTAAGCAGTATTTCGTATAAATCCTCGACTTCTTTATACTGGGCTAATTTTACCATCAACATTTCTAGTCGAAACCATCCTGTGGTGCTTTTAGTCTCTTCTTGCATGCTTTCAGTAAGCGAGTGGAAATCTGAATCGTTGCCACTGATTAATATTAAATCAACTTGCCAAAGATGACTACTTTCATCGATTTGTTTCATTGATTCAATACAAAAGATGGAATGTATAGAGAATTTCTTCTTCTTCGAAATAATTGACATCACAAACGTCAGTAAATAGTATTGACGTAATGTATGGATGAATTTTTGATGATCAATGGAATACCAATGAGATCGAAGCATTCGATCGTTTCACAAGCAAAGTTGAGGTATACATGACAATGTATACTGATCGATAAAAAATTATTAAATGATAAAAATTCACCTTATATCTTGACCATTCAATCAAAGTTATCCTTCGACAATCTTTGACCATGATAAATAGTTAACGAATTCGGGGTCGATTGTCCAATAAACTTTTGTGCATGAAGTCAGGCGATATGATTGTGGAGATCTCGAATGAAAAGTCCCACGTTAATGATGAGATCGATCTTGATCATTCGTAATGATCGGTTGAACATTTTATAAAGAAAGTATTGATAGGTATACTATCAAATCGGAACATGTTCGTGATATTCCCGTTTGAGTTTGTTGACTTGATGAAGTTATTTTGGATTATCAGCGAAAATGTCTCGATAATACATAAAAAACTCATCCCTGTGTTGTTGGTTGGACTCAATAATGAATGGGACTTCTTTCATTATCTGTGTGTATATAAAAGAAGAATCTTATTGGTTGAGGTTTGACTTGGTGCTTCCACTACTGGTTTTGACAAAACTGAACGATATCACGTTTTGGTCACACTCGTACACCTCTCATTGAAGGACTTTACAGATAGAAGCAATATTTGTAAGGATCCTTTTTTATGTTTGGCCTATTGTTCATACCAAGCTTGATTGCCACAAAAAATCTAAATTGAACTGATCTGAGGCATGTCATGTATATTAGGACCTGTAGTTTGTCCCAATGCTCCTGAAGCGATCATAAACATTTTTTCATATTTAAGGTCACCGATAAAATTGATGCATTCGTCAACATCCATGAATGTATTAATCTTGTTGACAGCTTATTTTAATTTGGAAGTCGTATTCTTATAGCCCTTACTGTTCTCCGGATCGATACTACTGTCGAACCTGACGAGCAAAAAATTCTGAACCATACAAGCATAAGGAGGCCGTCATGACTTTATATTTGTGTGTTCAGATCACGTGGGAGTAGCAGTAGCAGTTGTTATCAACTTTTTCTTTTTGTGTCCACAGTGTATGTTGAAGTTTTTTTCTAGATGTATCTATTATTTTTAATTATTGTTGTAGTTTGAAGTCTTTTGTTTTTCATTCCATTTCAGTGTTTCACTCCTTCTCTTTATCGGTTATCATCTGTGATGCCACAAAAGAATGGATAAACCAAAGAAAAAGTTGCTGCAATCTAATTCCATACATAAACTATGTTTTTCCAGTTTCTTTTTACAACATCTGGAAGCTTATTGCTCTTCTTCGTTTTATATTGTCAAAAATAGATTTGTACGTAGAAACAGAACAGTGCACATTGATATTTGAAAATACGTGACGATTTCTTATTTCAATGAGTTTTTTCTTTCTGCTCAATGAACAGTTCACAGTGTCATACGAAAACCAATGAAAGTATATGTAAACGATTGTTATTATTGTCAAGATTTGTTTATTATTCAATAAAAAATCAATAAACTTTAACATAGGATTCGAAAACTATTTTTACATCCAATATTCTCACACTATGCTAAAAGAAAACCAAATGAATCTATCATCATTAATTTGTTTTAAAAACGAGGCATAATGAGTATAATAGTCTTCTGTAGTTACATTGATTATGTTGTGATATATTTATGTGTAGTTTTAAAATCAGTTTATTTTGTATATTTACTACACGATATTTGTTTTGAGATCATCTTGCAATTGTATCCTTGAATATAAAAAATCGATTATGGACAATTACATCATTTATTTCTTCATATTTAGGTAAAAGTAATGAATTATGATTTGAAATAATATATGAAAAAAAAATGAATCGTTTATTTAACTTATGAAAATAATTTTGTTGAAAAACAATTAATATTAAATGAAACATTTTATTTCTTTTTTGTAGATTTTCCTCAACATGTCACTAGTGTTTAGTAACAAAACATTGTCGCTAGTAATCAGTGTAAAATGTATCATTGTTTTCTATTACAATCTATCAAATCTTTGAACTATATTCAAAGAGAAACAAAAAGTAGTTAATATCAACTCTCATGTATTTGCTATCTTATCTTAATGGTTAGAGGAGATTTAGAAAAAAATATATAAATGTCATTGAAAAATTGGATATATTTCGATTGGTCGACATTTCAAAGGATTCATTTCTTCTTCTTCTTCTTCTTCCAAAAAAAAGAAAACAATATGTGGTTGTAAATAATCATAATCTTTATCTTCAATCCTTTCTTATATCATATATTTATATGTGAAAAAGTCAATTTTTGAACCGATTGATTGATATCATTCGATATAAAAATAATATTATACATATTGATAAATGTCCTTGTCTAATTATTCGTTCTTTCAGTCCTTTCTTTTTTTTTATATCCTTGAATAATCACCGAAAATGATTTCGTTTTTTTTTTGCCCTTCAGATCTCACGGGCGTCATGGATCGCCTACGTAATTTAGACCCACGTCGACGTGCCGCCGATCAAAAGATGCATCAAACTACATCAGTAAGCATTCTATATTTGTACATAAATCAAAAGTTTTTCTTTTCTATCTTAGACAGTTACAGTTAATAATTCTTCGGGAATAGCAACATCACCACCAAACGGAAATAATGAACAACAAGAACCAAGACCTAAAGTTTCAAGTCTTGTATTTAAGTTTGGTGGTGATCGAAATAAAAAAGTACCTACATATACATTTTCGCCTGGTAAGATTGTCATTTCAATAGTTCTTTTTTTTGTTTTTATATAAAAAAATCTTTTAGCTGAACAAGCTACAATCGATCAACAACAAAATAATATAATAAATCGTGCTCCTTCATCACCTCAACCTCAGATATCACCACAAATACGAACTTATGTAAATTATATTTATTTATATATTTGATTTATAATCTTTCTTTTTTTAACTTTTAATAGATCGAACAACTGGAAACAAAGAACAGTGAATTAAGTCAAAAAGTTCATGAACAATATCAACAAATTGAAAATTCAGAAAAAAAAATGAAGGAATTAAGTCAATTCTGTAATGCATTACAAAATAAGTAAGAATCAATTCGTTAAGCAACTTCTTTCAAATAAGAAAAATATATATATATTTAATAGATTAAATCACGATACAAATAATCCTCTTCTTCAACTTGTTTTAAATTTTTGTGAAGTCACAGTAAGTTAATATAATCAATATATAATAAAAATTTTATTATTATACTCTAGTCCGATCAACAACAAGATATTATTTCTTTATTCGAATCAAAAATTCTTCAATGTAAAAAAGTCGAACAACAAGTAATAATACAATAAATTTGTTTTTCTTTTTCGAATCATAAAATAAAAAAACAAAATTAACCTTTTATAGGTCAAATCATTGACAATGACATTAAAAACAAAAGAACAACGTATTACTGAATTAAAAAATGAAGTTAATGAATTAGCTGCAAAAACAATTACAATACAAACACCAATATCAGCACCACGTTCAAATTCTTCAATATCAACAACACCTATAAGACGTATCGATTCAAATGATGAACGTAATTATAATTCAAAAAATTTTAAAAAAATTATTTAATTTTGAATATTTGTTTTGTTTTTTTCTTTGTGTTTCTAGTTGATTCAATTAATTTACGTCGAGAATTATTACGTACACGAAATCGTCTTAAAGAAGCTCAACGTGAATTATCATCACAAAATAGTTTAACAAAACATTTATCAATAAATAATCTTCTTTCATCAGATGCATTAATTAGTGATTTACGTAAAGATATTAATGATATGGGTTGGGAAATAAAAAATTTACAAAAAACAAAAGAAACACTTAAACATGATGTGGAAAAATTAGAAAAAGAAATTGTAACACTTGAATCACAAAAACATTCGGTATTAAACGAGAAAAAAAAAGGTTTCTTTTTATTTTTATTACATTAATATTTATCTAGATTGAAGATGTTAATGCAATGATTACACGAGAAAATAAAGAATTACGAGCAACAATTGAAGAATTAAATGATCAAAATCGTATTGTTTTACAAAATTATCAAAATCATGTTAAAAATGTAAAAAGAAATTTTCATTGTTTTTTTTTTTGTTTTCTTATTTAAATCTTTATTTTTTTAGTATGCAATACATGAAGGATTAATGACAAAATTATATGATTCAATGGCTCAATTAGAAAAAGAAAATAATCAATTAAAAGAAAAGGTATATACAATTTTTTTGCAAGTCAAATAAAGTTATGTAGATTATGTAGATTACTTTATTGTGTCATTCTAAGTATCATCAGCAGCAATGTAGGTTAAAAGAGCAGCAGCATGTTGGGTGTTAGTTTGACAGAAAAAGATCGCATATTTTTCTATTCTCTCTAAAAACCCTATACTGATACGCATGTATGCTGTGCATGATGATATGCTTTTCATTAAATAATCTTATATTAAAAAGAAAGAAAAACGATTAATTCTTATTATTTAATTTATTTTAGTGTGTTTTTCTTGAAGAAAAACTTGAATTAAAACAAATTTCATTAGTTGATAAAAATGAATTAGAAAAAATAAATTCATCAAATCGTGTATTAACGTTACAATATGATTATGAAGTTGCTAAACGTGAACATTGTGAAAGACAACTAACACGTTTACAAGATAATCTAAAACAATTACAATCTGAATTATCATATATGGATGAAAAAGTAAAACGTGCTGATGACCAAATGAAATTAGCCGATCGTTTAAATCGTGATAATAAAGATGAATGTGAAGTTTTCCAATTAAAAATAATGGATTTAGAAAAACGTTTAAATTTAACAGAAAAAGATAAAGATATTGTTGAACAAGAATTATTAATAGTTAAACAAAAAATGGAAGCAACTACATATCGTATACAACGTTATAATGAAGCATTACTTAATGCAGATAATGATCTTGAATTAACGTCTGATACAAGGTAAAAAATATCTTTTATTGTTGTTTTTTTTCTATTTCAAAATTCTTAATTATTCTATATTTAGCTTTAGTGAAGATGTTGGAAGTATTAATGGTACGGAAACGATATCATTAAAAAGTCGTAATTCACATCCAACACGATCTCCAAGTGAAATTTAATTATTGAAATGAAAACAAAAAAATAGAAAACAAATAATCAAAATCAAAAATTTTTTTTTCTTTTCACAAATATTCAGCATGTAGATATATTATATTTGTATGTGTAAAAAGAAAAAAACAAAGAATTCTCTTTTTTTTTTGCTTGTATGTATCTTAGCTAATGCACTGGGCTATTATTAATATGCATGAGATATAAAGAAAATTTCTTTTCTTTTAAACGTAGTTAAACAGTGTCTTGTTCTTCACAAGAAGAAAAAAAAAACAAAACAAATAATCACATTCCATACTTTTATAAACATAAAAATTACACATCCATCCAAGCGTTGTTTATTGCTCAAGGATGATGATTATTATTATTTTTTTTTCTTGCTCACTAAAGGTACATATTTGAGAAAGAACAATGCTTATTCTTATGTTGTGAACTTTCTCAGTACAATCAAAATCTGTAATTATTTTTCATTTAATCAAATCATATTTGCTTCTTCTTTGTTCTGTTTTTCTTTTTCGATTAATTAATTGATTGACTACGTACCTTGTTATACTTCACGTTTTTTTCTTCTCTTTATTTGTATAGTTCTATAGTAAATCTCTCTCTTTATATATATATATATTCATTAAAAACAAAAATAAAACAAATAATTCAATAGAAGTATGATTATCGCATTTGTTGTTGTTTTTTTTTAATTAGAAATTCATTATTCTTATAGATTACAGCGGAATAGGTGTATAATATTAAACTTTTTAATAAATATATAATTGAGTTTATACTATAAAGTTGAACAGTGTATTCGTTCAAAAGCAAATAAATGTTTACATCTACATATTATTTTTTTTTGTTTTTGACTATCAGAAAATTGATTTTTAGATAACCAGAATTAAATTAATTTCGAATTAATATACAAAACTCATCTTTCACTCGAGATATATGAGAATGCGAAAGTAAATTTTATAAAAATTCGATAATCTCTGATCGATACCAACACATGGCAAGAAAACATATGAATGAATTGAAGATAGAATATTGCATAATTTTGTATTACTACTTATAAAATACAAGTGGAAATCATTTTTTGATCAGTATTATGTTTTTTTTTTCTTTATCTAGATAAAATGATCAGCCGATTTCTCTTCAAATCTACTATACCAATTTGTCGTTTGTGTCAACAACGACTAACTAATTCCCTTATTTTCTTTCACCATCAACAACAGCACCGAAATATGTCTTCTCTTTTATTGAAATCGTCAGTCCAAAATTCTTTCTATTCTCTACGTTTTCTTTCGAAAAATACTAAAAGTAATAAGAAATATCAAGTATGTCACATACATATTATTCTATTAATAATAATTAGAAGATAATCACTATCTATTTTCAGCCAATATCCTATGGTCCAAAGAGTAAAAGACCTATTATAGAAGTCTATCATAAAATGACAGTAAAAGCACTTGCACAAGCGATGGATATTAATGTTGGTAGGTTGTTATTTTTAAGTTATTTTTTTCTTTAAATGTATTTGGATTCTTTTGATACAGATCATGTATATGATTGTCTTATTCATATAAAAAATGGTGATCAATATTCATCTGATAATCAAGGTTTGTGAATTTGTAGAGAAATGAAACATTTTACAAAGAAAAAAATAAATTATTTTTAGAAATCGATGATTTTAATGTTATTGTCGAAGTAGTTCATTTATGTGGTGGAAAACATAGACTTATACCATCGCCTTTTGCAAATGAAAAAAAGAAACCAGTAACAAATATAGTTAAATTTGTTCGCACGTATGTTGTCTTTTTTGAGAAAAAAAAAACAAGAATAAACTATCAACATATATATTTTTTCTGTTACAGTCCTATGCCATCAAAAGAAAAATTAAAACCGCGACCACCTGTTGTTACTATTATGGGTCATGTTGATCATGGGAAAACTAGTCTTTTAGATGCATTAAGAAATAGTAATATTGTATCAACTGAATTTGGAGGAATTACACAACATATTGGTGCTTTTATTGGTGAGTTTTAAATCATTATATTATATATCTACAATTTTTGCAATATCATCAATTATCAGTTCAGATTCTCTATCTAACCTATATGGATAATTTTTTTGATATTATATTGATCATTTAATGAAATTAGTATTTTGATCTATCCTAGTACCCGTATCAAAATCAACAACTGTAACGTTTATTGATACACCTGGTCATTTAGCATTTGCTGAAATGCGTGCTCGTGGTGCTCAAGTAACAGATGTAGTTGTTCTTGTTGTTGCTGCTGATGATGGTGTTATGCCTCAAACATTAGAAAGTATTGCACATGCAAATAGAGCAAAAGGTAAATTTTATTTTTTTTTACAATAAAAACAAAAATTTACAATGTTTTTGTTTGTTTTTTTTACTATAGTTCCTATTGTTGTTGCTCTCAATAAAATCGATAAAGCTGATGGAAATATTGTAGGATAACAAATTTTAAAAAAATCATTTGTTTGATATTTCTATTTTATACATATAATAGAAACGTACGGAAACAATGCTGGCTGAACATGGGTTACAACTTGAATCCATTGGTGGTGATATTGTTGGTGTACCAATTTCAGCTTTAAAAGTAAATAGAAAATTTTTTTTTTTTGTTGAAGAGATTTAGAATTAATATTCTTGTTTAATAAAGAATGTAAATATTGATAAATTACTCGAATCAATCTTAGCTGTGGCTGAATTACAACAATTACGTGGCGATCCAAATGGACCTGTTGAAGGTACAATACTTGAATCAAAACATGACGAAACTAAATCAGAAAATAATGAATTCGATAACAATCAACGAAAGGGGTGAGCCTTAAGAGGGTAAGCAATTATCGGTCGATATGTTATCTATGTTTTCTTTATTTTTTGATTCTACAGAAATCTTGCTACTATTCTTGTTCAACGTGGTGTTTTAAAAAAAGGAACTATTTTACTTGCTGGTCAAAGTGTTGCACGAGTAAATTTCTTTGATGAAAAAAAGAAAAACATGTTTTAGTTCTTAAAATATAATATTCTATTAATTTTTAAGGTTCGAGCTTTATATAATGAACGAGGTATTCAAATTGAATGTGCAACATTAAGTATGCCTGTACAAGTAACTGGTTGGAAAACATTACCAGCTGCTGGTGAAGAAGTATTCGAAATTGAGAGTGAAGTAAAATAAAAAATATTTATTTAGTAATCCTTGATATTAAATGAAATATGTCTGCTTGTTTTTTTTTTAATTTTAAATAGAATTTAGCTAATCGTATTGCTGCTCAACGTAAAGCAGATGAAATAGCTCAAAAGATGGAAATTGATGTAATTGCTGTTACACAAAAACATGAAGAACATTTACAAAAATATCGGTTAGTATATATAAAGAATATTAATTATAAGAAAAAAAAGAACACAAAAATCTTTGTTTATAAAGCGCGGAACTTCAACGTCGTCGACAATTAGGTATTGTATTTCGAAAACGTGATAAAGGTTCTGGACAACATATTGAAGATAAAGAAGAAAAATTAAAATATTCTATTCTAGTCAAAAGTAAATTTTATAATCATTGAATTGAAAACAAAGACAAAAAAGAACATTTATATTTTTGTATATCATTAGCCGATGTTTTTGGTACATTGGAAGCATTAACAAAAATTATTAATATGTATAATGATACTAGATGTCCACTTGATGTAGTCGACACATCAGTTGGTCCTGTTAATGATGATGATATAGAAGCAGCTCAACTTTTTAATGGTTTGTTTTCAAAAAAAGAAAATCATACAATCTAAATTCTATCGGTTTATTTGTTTTTTTTAATTTTCTTTTCTAGCAACCATTTATGCATTTAATACAAATATAAATCAAACAATAGCACTTGAAGCAAGTCGAAAACAGGTTCCTATTCGAACATTTAATGTTATTTACCATATGTTAAATGATATAAAAAATGAATTAACAAAACGTATACCATCAATAGAAGAAGATGTTCAAACAGGTTCAGCAGATATTTTACAAGTATTTGAAATAACAGAACGTAATAAAAAAATACCTGTAGCTGGTTGTCGTGTTACAGAGGGTTCATTAGAAAAAAAGCAATTATTTAAATTAATTCGTAATGGTCAAGTTATTCATCGAGGTAAATTAAATTTTTTTTTGTTTAAAAAAAATTTCGTTTGTTTTGTTTTAAAGATACTTTATCATCTTTAAAACATGTACGTGATGATGTACAATCAATAAAGAAAGGTGTAGAATGTGGTTTATCATTTACAAATCATGATATTAAATTTCAAAAAGGTGATCAAATTATTTGTTATACTGTTAGACAAGTTTTACAAGAAGCAAAATGGGATTTTGGATTTTAGTGAATTTTGTTTGTTTTTCATTTAAATAAAAAAAAAATAGTATTTATGTGCTTATTAAATCTATACATTATTTCTCATAGTCTATTAGTTAATATAAAAGGAGAAGAAGATGATTAATTGACAAAGGATGACTAAATCATTGAATGAATCAGAGTATAGATGTATTTTTTATTTTCAATTGAATGTTACATATAATGTTATTTAAGTATATCAAATTACTAATAGATGGGATGAAACAATTAATCATAGCTAAATTTGAATGAAAATAATATTCTATGATGTTTTGTTTAACCCTTTCTTGCCGAATGGCACCTATAGGTGCCATTTTTCAGGTTGTTGAAGAGAGACCAACACTTATTGCAAGAAATGTAAAGTTTGGCTTTATTATGCTGAAACTAATCATTTTCAATTATATCATCGATTCGAAGAATAGATCTTTCAAACTCAATTTGTATACTACAACAAATGATGATTTATGAAGTGAATGCAATTATCGTATGCTTACGATAATAGTACCATAGTGTTCATTCTGCTGTAACTTGCATAGGTTTTTTTTATACAATAAAAAACTACCGAACGTTCAATACGTCAACTATACCAGCATTTAAATGATGTGATTCAAACTTTTTTTGTGTATGTTAGGGGTCGTATTGATCACATTACCAGACGAATTTCAGTTCGAGATCTTACATTTTAGTCACAGGCATGAAAGGGTTAATAAATCTCTTTGTAAATATTATTTCGAGACAGCATAGAATGGAAATAGTTAGAAAACTTCAACCTAAACAACTAATTTAATTTCAATATTGAACTGAAAAAACCGGTAACAATATCACTGTTTCCATCATGAGCGCAGGAAAATTTATCCTATACGCTACTTTACAACAAAGCTCAGCAAACAATATACTATACTTTGTTTATGATCCAACGTCATTTATTATGACAATAATTTAGTTGAACATTTCAAAATAATTATATGTACGAAGATAAGAAAACTAAGTTTAGAAATGAGGTTTTTTTGTCTATAACTCTATACTTATGGTTATAATTGGGTGAGTTGACGTCTTTTTAGTTAATACATAGTGTTGTCTTTTTTTTGTTGTGTTCATTTCGAAATATAATATAAAATACAATATCAATCAATAGGACCGCAATTGATAATAATAATATATACATCAAAAGTAATTTTGGTTTTTCTATCACTGGTATAAGCGCAAAGTAAAATGCACTACTAATAGCTGATATAAATAAGAAAAGTGACATCATGATGAATTTCATTCATGCTGAAGCATAAGTATATTAATATACTAAATCTTGTATAGCTTAAAAAATATTTTGGATCTGCCAATTAAAGCAGAAGATGGAATTTGCTAAGCTACAGTGATATTATTATATTTTTCACATGTAGAACAGGTTTTATGATTAAATAAATAATGTGATCTAGTAGAGTATATTAAATGTTATACTAAAGTTGTTCATGCCATTGAAAAGAAACATAAAACCACAACAAATACATGATTCAGGCTAAAAATTAATATTTAATATTTTCTCAAATATAGATATTAATAGAGTTGGTACAAGTAGATCAATATTTTGTAGAAAATCATTTTGTGATGAACCTTTATAAATGTTCAACAACCATGAATTGCTTGTTTAAGCTGATCTATAAATTGAGTAGCATTTTATTCGGTTCCGCCTTGTACATATGTATTTTCTTTAAATGATTCTATTTCTTTTCCACCAATAAATAAAACTATCATTTAAACGAGTAAAGAGCATCAATATTAGAAGATATGCAAGCTAAAATGAATGATATTTTTCAATAGTGATTTTTTATAATTGATGAAATTGCAATCAAATTAATAGTCCAATAAAACCAATTAGACAATGATTGAGCAGTTCTATGATAATAATAGTATTAAATATAATTAAGGGAAAAGTTGATGGATTTTTTACAATTTTGGACCGATTATTATCTGTTTACCTTGAATCTCTAACAGGTGAAAGTCCTCATAATGATTTCTTTTCGTGTAAGTCAACATACTCTTAATTATAAGTGTTTTCCTTGTGTATTAGTCATCCATAAGTGGACTGACATTACTGTTTACTCCTTCTGTAGCAACGCCTAAAATGATCCTTATAAGAATAAGTTCTAATAATCTAACACCGGCTTTAAGTGATGATGGTATACTTGTTAAGACAAGTATAAGAAGACTGACAAGGTCAATAATAGGTGTCAAATTAAATAACAAAAGAGTTGAAAAAATGTAGCTAGTAATGTAACTGTTCAATGATTATGATTGAGTGCACCTAGTTGTTTCTCATTTGAAGGAAGTATATGAAATTGAATATACTTTTTGAGAATGATCCCAATCGACCATAAGCAGTAAAACCTTCATATAATTCACAAATGAAAAATTAATCAAAACACCTAATAGAATACCATCAGCGATATGTTCGAATGTATTTAGTTTTTTAATTGTTAGTTCAATTTCATTCGATTCAAAATTTCTCGGATCAAATTCGTCGAAATTCGCTCCAGTGTTCATGTGTATCATAACTACGATTTCAAAAGTGAAAACTTCCTAGGCAAAAAAAAAAGATGTTCATACAATAAAACTGCTTAAAAACTAAAAAACTAATTAATTAAAAAATACTATCATCAAATTATGAGCTACGATGGCAAAAAAAAACAGAAAGGCCTTGTACAATATATAAAAGTACTTTTAGGCAATCGATATAATTGAAGGTCAAAATATTCTTGTTCGAGCTTAATTATTTATTTATTGATTCAAACAACCTTGTGATGCCGTCGATTGACAGCAGCAACTAACTGATGATCTTGATCATCAGTACTATTACAATGGTTAGCACTCGTATTTTCACAATTTAAATGAACAAAAGCACGTTCAACATCTGGTAATGCTTCTATTTTTTGTTCGAGACCAATACCAACATGAACTGCTTCACTGAGACGTAAATCATCAGGAAGAAGAACATCAATTTCGACAAGAAAATGTGTACCAAAATGATATGCTCGTACTGTATCTATTTTGCGTATAAGTGATGAATGATGAAATGCTATCCAAGTTAATTGTTGAAGAACTTGAGCCGGAGCTGTATAACCAGTTAGATTACGAATATGAACTATAAGTACAAAATATATGATCAATAGAGATTTGTATTAAACTTTTTAAGTTACTTACGACGAACTTGAGGAATCCAACAGATAATGATATATAAACTGATTACGATAGCACCTGAAAAATAAAATAATATTTTAAAATGTATTAAAATATGTTTTATTTCATACTTACCAACCGGATCAATGACTGATAATTCTCTTGGTTTAATTTCACCGTCTATTGCTTTGGAACCTAATAAAATGAACAACTTTAATTACTTGCTTTTTTTTTGGAGTAAATTCTTTCTTCCAAAAATATCTTAGTATAAATAAAAAAATTCAATGTTGAAATAGCGATCAGCAATAGGAAAAAAAACTAAATGAAACTATCTTTCGAAAATTATGTTTAGAATAATTTTATCCTCCATATAATTTATTTTCCTATGAATCTTACCAATAATTCCGAATACTAATGCTACCATGGTAGCAACAACATCGTTTCGATGATCAGCAGAAAGTGCTGACATTGTTGGTGTCGAAACTCGATAACATAATACAGACAATATAATTTTAATGACTGTCGTAAAAGAAAAAACAATATATAAATACAATAGAAACATCAATCTTGAAAAATAAACACCCACCAATCGTTATACACATAATTGAAATTGCCGCAGGATTGATATCAACCGGTGGTTTTTCATATGCATAACCACTAACATTACGAAAATAGTTAACATCTTCAATAACTGAACGAACTCCTTCGAAAATAACTTGAAAACTAGCAGCACACATGACAATACTAAGTATAATAATGATAATAGGTTCAAGGCGAGTTCGTCCTTATGAGAAAAAAATATAGAATTTTATAGAATTTAATTTATTAACTATCTACTCAAACCTTGCGGATAAAGGTGTGGATTCCGTTTTCTTATAGCTCTAGCTGCCCACCAAATAGCAAAATTTAACATTAAATCGATTGTACTATCGATTGCTGATGATGCAATTGATAATGATTTAGAAATAATAGCAGAGAATATTTTTCCGACCACAAGAATCTATGAAAATGTATTATGAGAAATATTATAGAATAAAATAAAATATTATCTTACAATGTTGGAAACAAGGGTTGTTTTAATAAGTATAAGCGTCCATCGTTTATGTCGTTCAGCACGTTCATCATGCATTGAACCAGATGTATGTCGCCTATGTATGGTTGAATAGTGATCTATTATTTCATCTTGTCTAGCATAAAATTTTCTTTGAAATAAAAAATTATATAAAATTAAACAGTAAAATTCAAGAATGAAAGAGATTCTTACCTAACGTCGCGTGACAATGCTTTATCTGCAACATGCCGTCCATGTCTATAGGAAATCATTTGTTCCAATGAATATCGATTATCATCTTCTACGTAAAAAACAAAAAAAGAACATAAGATATATCAGAACTTTATAAATCGGATGAAATAAATTAGATAAAAGTTTTCAAAAATTTACATATAATGAATTACTATCACCTTTTTTATTATCTACTCTTTCGAATGATGATGCATTTTGTTCAGGAATTGGAACGTTAACATTTGTGGAATTATCATTTATGACAGTTGCCGATGGCACAGTTGTTATTATCGATGATGCACGTCGATCTCTACTGTATGATGGTAAAACAAAATCATAGCGAGGAGGCATTGATAATGTATGAACATCGATTGTATGACGACGCATTGGTTTTTCTGGTGTATTTGGTGATTGCTGTAGGTCCATTGATGAAAACTATCAAATATTTTTGTTAACTTTTTTTCCATCCACCCATTTACTTAGTGATTCAATATAAAAAACGATAAAATAATTTTCTTTGCTTTATCAGATTCAATTTACAAGATAGCATATTTGTAACCTTTTACAAGAGAAATTTTCAGTTCCAGTCGAATAGAAAAGTAAATAACAGAAAATGTGAAGAAAAAAGGGAGATTGGCCTTCAATTTAATCTTGAGATTGTTTGTATGCATTATTTTCAGAAATTTGATAAGATCACACATATATTCGAAAAGAAGCAAAAAGAATTATTAAAGGGCACCAGTCAACTTTTGATTCTACTATGTCGATGACAAATGCAGAACGAATCTGAAATTTTTATACCAGCATTATTAGACACTACAAGATAACGACAATATCCCAGTTCTCTTTGTTCTTCATCAAATATATTCAATTAACTCGAATAATCTTGTTCATATGATTAACTCATTACATGGTAGTGAATCATTAAAGAATAAAAATCGCATCTAAAAACATCGTTAAAATCATCATGACCACGAAATGTTTTCATCGATACTCGAATGCATGAAATACAGACAGTTGCAATTTTATAATTTATTTTGTGTTATTTGTGACTGAAACTTTGGAAATAGATAGAGTAACAACCAATGTATATGTGGTATAGATGTTAGACCAAGTGATAACAATGCATAGAAATAATCGAAAAAAATTAGATATTCCTCTTATTTTGATCAGTGACATATATGTTAGTATGCTGACAACATATGATAAATATCATGAGAGAAGTATATCGATCTACTTCTATATAGAATCAACATTAATTGTCTTTTGTTTGATCGAGTTTTTTATTCGAATTTATGCATTCGAATCACAAGTATATTGTCATTAGTTGAAAGGAATATGCCATTATTTGTTGTTGACTATTATCTTATTATTTTTTATTAAATTTTACCCAGTTTTTGTGATTCATTAATATTTTTCTTTACATGATCTTTATTTTCTTCATCCAATTCATTTTATTTTATTAGAACAGTACATTAAATCGATTCTATTGATTGCGCATATAACTTGGCAGCATCGTCTAGTTTTCTTAGCGACTATCTTTCTTTCTTTTTTACCACTATTACCAACAGCCTATCTTTAATGTTTTGTTCAGCGATTTATTGAAATCGGTGAACAATATTTTTTTCCAAAGCGTACACAGATTCATTATAGTGTACTATCAATTGAATAGCGACAATAGGACAAAAATTCAACATACTAATAGTTTTTCATCTCGTCTACTTAGTTTTTCTTGTCTGACATTGGTTACGGTAATATTTAACCTAAAAACACTTGATTAGTAATATATATTGCTTTTTTCCAGTAGTTATGGGATTGTTTATATTCGTTTTTTTGCAGATGTCATGTCCTTAGTTCAAATTTATGTTTGCGAAAGCATAGTTCTTTAGTTTTCATCATCTGATATTATTTTTGCTGATTGACATCTATCGACAAGAAACATCAAGTATGTGGAAATCGTCGTTAGCCTGTTGCACGGTTCATACTTTCCTGTTGGTGTTGGCAACTTGCACGCAATCAATCACACACTAGACTTGCCAAAGATCATGGAAGATACACATGCAAACGAAGTTGTTTGTTTATTTTAGAATCACCTTTGCTATGAATTTCAATTATATAGATGTATTGTAAAGCATAAAAATAGTATTCAAATGAAAAAAAAAACACTTCATCGAATTCTGCAACTCTCACACAGTATTGAAGAGTAACTAAGAGAAAATATTCTGATGGGCAGGTTTCAGTTTTATTACCTACCACCATTCGCATATGACTGAGAAAGCTTCATAGAAGTATTTGGAGAGTGCATTCGCATTATCAAAAAGTAGAAGGAAATAAGAGTAAAAAAAACCATGATTAGATAATCGTTCTTTTCTTTGAGCGCCTCAATAATCCTGTTTGACGGATGACAAAACAATAACTTCTATATCGTTTAAGTTATGTTGTTAATGATAGTAAAATTTTTTTTGCTAAACCCGTGTGGAATGCATCAGTATTAAACTGACTTTTAGTGGATTTTTTGTCAAAGAAAATAGGCACTAATCTTACATTGTATTGTTGGATTATAATTAACATCTATTACTATCAATATTCAGGTGGATATTACATGTTCTCTTCATAAATCATAATATGATTAGTAGAAGCTGAATTTTGATTTATTCAGGATTAATTATAAAGTCACTAAATAGATATAAATTCTATAATCCTCAACCAAATAAATATCATTTCGTTCTGAAATTTGACAGTGAATATAATTTTGCAACTGATATTGAAAAGCATTCAGATTATTAAGTTCATAAAGAAGTCGAGCATTAATTGTCATTTATCATAAATTAACTTGGCATTATTCATATCTATTTCATTGTTGGAAAATGAATCCTAGGCTCGTAATCATGGACCTACTATTATAGTTTAGTTTTGTGTAATGTTACTAAAGACGTTTCCATGTACTTCATATGAGCGACTATAATAAGATTTGCGATAATAAATTGTAGTTAAAGTTATCTTTGACAATGAGAGTATATTCGGTTCGAGTATCATAGTAAATTGATGTTTGTTCAATGAAAATATTAATTACATATTTAATGAAATTGAAGGACTTCGGCGATATAACAATAAATATTTGAAATTTCTTTTATCGACGTAATCATATAAATTAATGAAATTACACAAGTCACCACTGCTGTAATTATCTTATTTTTCATAGTATGAAAATTGCAGCAACTGATTTAAAAGAAACCAAAACATAATTTATTGGATGAGCAATAAAGACCAGTATCTTTTGCATCTTGACTATATGTCATTCATTTTTCATCATGGGACGCAGGTTACTTTTTCAAAAATATTTCTCGTTTCATAAGCTGCAAAACTGCATAAGTTCATTATTGAAAAGAATTTCCTACCATTTTCTAATATCTAATGCAATCGAGTAATTCAAGAAGAACAATTTTCAAAAAGCCAATTTCAGTTCATTGATGGGAATGTTTTGTTTCATGCTACATTGTCTCAGTTGATACTAACAACAAGAACAACTAAAATTTATTAGCTTAGGAGGTTCAAATTGAAATTCTTTCACGACCAATGGTCCTTCTTGAAAAACGATGGAAAATCATCTTGACACCAATGTTGAGAGTCAAATAGTAAGTGTCAGATTCCGCATCACCTTATTCGAAGGTCTAAGGAGTTTCAAGAACTTCGTTGCCATACTTGAATGCCACAGAGAGTATTTCTTGAATAATCAATGATGTCACTCCATTAGAACATACGACAAATCGGACTATGACCTTCTCTGTAAAGGAGAGAAGGGGAGGGGGTCAATAAACGATGAAATCGGTCCCCACCTAAAATTCCGATTTTTGCTTATTAACTGCTCATTTTAGGTCTCAGAAATTTTTTATTACAAAAATCAGACCAATAGAACGCATCTACACCAAGGGGGAAACATCGTACTTTTGTACTTTAAAGTACATAAAGTATGTAAAGTACGTCAAAGTACAATGAAGTACTTTAAAATACTTTAAAATACTTTGAAGTACTTTAAGAGAGAGTCCGTCAAAAAACCGGGTAACATGGCTGAAGAAAATTTCGATTTTTGATTTGAGTATCTGGAAACAAAGGCCTATTAGAATTAGTACTAAATCCAAAATATCAGCTCTATCTGACAATCGCTTGCTGAATTTTCTAGCTCTCTGGATTCTGGTATTAGTGTGTACTTCATTATTCAGCAAGCGATTATCAGATAGAGCTGATATTTTGGATTTAGTACTAATTCTAATAGACCTTTGCTATCAGATACTCAAATCAAAAATCAAAATTTTCCCCA